GTGTGTGTGTGTGTGTGTGTGTGTGTGTGTGCGCACTGTTGGCTGCTGTGGGCGAGGAGGGAGAGATGAAAGGCTCCTTTGTAGCAGGGAGGTCAGCACTGTTGACCAGTAGATGTGTGAGTAGAGCCCCAGCTCGGCTTTCCCACAGTCTGTCTGTCCACTCGCAGCCAAAGACCCTCCGTCAACAATCGAAGTGTGCCACGGCTGAACAAGCAGGAGTTTTATTGTCGCAGCGCATAAAGGCCCAAGCTGAAGGCGCTCTGGAGTTCACAAGTCTTGTTCGCGTTTGATTCTGGTTTTAAAACAGAGGAAGTAAAAAAAAAAAAAAAAAAAAAAGAAAAAAATTATTTTCCTTTTAAATTTTGCTGTTCAATGCTAAAAAAAATTGTAATAAAAAAATAAAGACTCTAAAGATGTTTTTTCTTTTCCAGCTACAACCTTTGTCCCCGGTGCTGTCAGGCAACCATGAATGAAATGTATTTTGCATACAAATTTCATTTAACTAACACTGCAGCAGATTATTCCATAGCAACAATTGACGAGCGAGTGATTGTAATCTTTCTCTTAACAGCTTCCCACTGGATGACACTGACAGATCAAGCTCTGTTTGGTTAGTCCCTGGACGCCCATCAGGAGATGCGGCCTGGATTCCCCTGAGTGGCTGCTGAGGGTGAGATAAGCAGCAGCTCATCGGTGCAACGCCGACTCGTTTAATGGGGACGGTTTTATCTCTGCTGGTCACCTTGAGATCAACTCACCTCTCTTTACTGATGGGAGTCCTGGCGATTCAAGTTAAAGCCGTTGCTGCAACACGTGGCTTTGTTATGCTGGTGTTATCCATGAACAAGAAGCAGTTCTTCCAGAGACATCGGAGAGAACATCAGTGCACTCCTCTGTCCACAGCAACGGGATGTCAGAATAAAGACGACATGAGCGTATTAGAGATTTTAGATTTACACACTACAAATGTGTGTTTGTTGTTGACCAGAAGAGTTATTTTATTTGTCTCAGTCTCATTATAGATGCTCTAATCTCTAAAACATGTCCTTGTATGTGCTGAAATCTCAGACTGAAAGTGAAGGAATACTGGTTTTCTGTCTGGTGAACAGTATTGATTTCATCCTGTGTTTTTAACAAAACAAAATTAGACTCAGTGATAAAACCTTTTTTTTTTTTTTTGCATTTAGTTTTTTTGGTAAGCAAATTCTTATCTAAACGACTTTATAGTTCAAAGAACGCCATGATAGCAAGCAAGATTCAGATGACAGTAGGAGGAGAAATAGGCCCACAGCATCACAGGTCCTCCATCATGCTTAACAGTGGGAAAGATGCCATTGTGCTGCAGCTCTGCAACCTTAAGCATTGGAGATTTTTTTCTTTACCACCCATAGCAACCTGCTCACTGTGTGCAGCTGCAAGGTAAGTCTGGTTTCCGTGGCAACTTAATCACAACAGTAAAAGATGGTTTCATTTCATTTAGTGGTTGTAAAACTCTGTGTTTTTGTTGAGAACAATTCTTTCTTACCAAGAGATTTCTTGTCTGGCTGAACAAATGTTAACAAAAACAATTTTTTGTATGGTGAGATTAAACTACGTCTGTAAAAGAGGGATTTATTTTAAGGATTTTTACACATTTTTATCAGTGTGTCAACAAAAACTGCATCAGCTAATACATTATAATGGAAATTTGTACAAATAAATAAATAAATAAATAAATAAATAAATAAAATTAAATCAAATAACAAAAATAAATAGAAAATTCTTTTCCATTGGGTGTTTTTCTGGTTTCCTCCCATGAGGTTTAGATTTATAGAGCTAAAGTAACTGCACTCATGCTTTCAAAAATAAAAGCTACAAAATATGAAAGCTGACTCAGTTACAATTTAAAGTTTGTGCAATTGAACAAACCTAGTTTTCAAGAAGAATTTGGTTCCTCTCATGCAACATATATTAGATTGTCATCACTTTAGTATAAAAGCTGCCTGTTGCTAATTTAGTCACATGAGGTGGAAGTCATTTTAAGTAGCTTATCCTACGAAGGGACACTAAATAGTTAGCATAGAAGCTTAAAATCAATTTTTCAACATCACATCAAGAGTGATTGCATCTTTGTTTTATTAATTGTCACACAAGCTTGAGAAATTAAAAAACAAAAAGGTCAAAACCTTGAAAGAAAATATTAACATCAACATCCAACCAGACAATAGCAGTACATACATCCACTTGTGGGCTAATAACTAAAAACAATTGGCATAGAAAGTTTAAAACAGAAGAGAAATATTCTCAAAAAAAGGCTGTCAGTAACACACAGTGAGGCAGAAACGCATATACTGTTACATAAAGCAGACCCAAGATAAACTCCACCGGAGTAAAAGGAAAAACATTCACATCACAACAAAAACAACTATGCCACTCAGAATGAATCCTCGGGTTTTTAACACGAAGAAAGACAAATCAGGTAACAAGAGAGAAAGCACATTGCGTTTACTTGTCCATCAATGTGATGAGACAATAAATGAACCCACGCTGAAAGAGCAGGATGGAAATAAATTTCCTACATAGTGAGGGAGAGAACGGCTCCCCTCAGGTCTCAAGAGAGTCTCTCTACCACGGCCTCCACACCGGGCCTCTGCTGCTGCCGCTGCTGCTGCTGTCCGGCTGCGTGTCGGGCCTGAGCGGGGAGCAGCTGCTGGCTCTCTGTGTCTGACGGAGCGTCTGCTCCGGCTGCCGCAGGACCTGCTGAGGTCCGGCCGAGGCCTCCGTGGCCGAGCCGACGGACAGGAAGTGAACCGAGTCCCTCAGGCAGCGGGAGTAACTCTGACAGAGACCCGACTGCAGCTGCTGCCTCAGGAAGCTCACCGTCATCTCCAGGATGTCGGCCTTCTCCAGCTTGGAGTTGGGCTCCTGCTTGTGGAACTCCTTCTCCAGGATGACCTTGAGCTGCTCGATGCAGGTGTTGATGCGGTCCCTGCGCATTTTCTCCACTATGGGTTTCCGTAGCTGCGAAGGAACGGGCAAGACGGGTGAGAAGCCTGCTGCAAGGCGGAGGTTTCCGCTTTCAGAATCACAAACACAAACAGTTTTCTACTCACTTTTATGTTGTCTCTCTCGGACATCCTGAGGTGGTGGATGGAGGAGTAGCTGTTGGGGCAGGGGGACATGTCTGCAGGTGAGCTGAGGTGCTTCTCGCAGGGCTACTCGCTTGGCTCTGATTTCTCTGGAGGAGCTTGCTCCCGGTTTTATGCTGCCTCATTAGCATAACAAAGCCGCGCGGTTCAGGCCGGGCTGGGGTTCCCACACTCTGACCAGTGGGACTCCCAGCGCCACAATGGAGGACGCGTCAATAAAACAGAGAGAGAGAGAGAGAGCATATCTGTGCCTGGTGTGGTTCCCAAGATAAGCAACAGGTAATTAAAAGTGTATCAAGGGGTCATCTGAGAATTTATCATGTTGGATGGAGATTTTTTTTTTTGGAAAGCATTAAAAGAGATCATCATCGCACACATTCTTTGAATATTTCCTTTAGAGTCGTGTGGATCATGTGTGTCTCTTTACCCCCAAACTCTCAAGTCTTCAGTTAGTTGTTGTGCCGCAGGTCACAGAGGAAATCTGCTGTTTGTCAGGCCTCTTGTTTTTCCTGTGGGTCTGCTGGAGACCCGGTGTCAAATTATAGTGTCCTCAGTTGGCAAGGCAAGCGGGCTGGCCGTGTCCCCCAGAGGGCCCGTATCACTGAATGGCCCCAGATGTGTGGCTGGCCTTGTGTGGAGCAGTCGTCCTCCCAACATCAGGGCGAATGTGTGCAGCTCCTCTAGGATCCGCTGGGAATGTTAATTGATCCTCCGTCGTGGCACAAACAGGAACCCTGTGTCTGAGTCCATCTGGGGACAATTAAGTCCTCTGGCTTCTGGTGAAGAGTGTTTTCAGTCGCCAACTATAGCTATTGCATATTTAAATGTCTAAATATATGTGTATATTTATAAAGGTACACTTGTAGTACCAGAATCATGACATTGGGCATAATCTATCAGTGTAGTATGAGTCGAATACTGTACCTTATTCATGCCCCGTTTATACTTTTATGACATTACAAGCAGAAACTTTTATGTATTTTATTGGGATCTGCTGTGATGGATCCATGTTGTGCACATCTATAAAGTAGAATTAACTTTGTCATTTTCACGTAATACTCTGAAGTTGTTCTGTCGTTTCTGCATCCGCTTTCATCCCAAGCCACTTACAAATGATAAAATAATGCCGAGAAGAAGTGTGGCTCGCATTTCTTCAGACTCTTTGAGTCAGCACTCTGCTTTGCGTCTCCGCACGCCGAAAATGTTTATGCTTTCTTCTTTGCTTTGACTAGGCCATTCTAACACACACAAACATGTGTGTTAGATCTATTGTTGTACTGCTGGAAGCTGCACCTTTTTGCTCCAGTGTCAATTATTTGCGACCTCTATCAGGTTTCCCTGTGCCCGCTAAAGAGAGACACCCACACAGCATAATGCTGCCACCACTTGTTTCTCTTTGTTTCTTCTTGTTGAAAGTTAAATTTGGTGTCATCTCACCAGAGCAACTGCTTCTCTTCGTTTTTTGTTTTTTTTGTGTGTGTGTCCTGTAGAGGGATTGTGGCAAACGCCATACAGGATCTCTTAAAGCTCTCTGTCATCTCATCACTCTTCGATTCCTCCATGACAATCGTGGCCTTTTCTGCCGTCTCTCAACCGCACATTTCTTTGTATCAGAGTACGTTATTTTTTTTGTTTGTTTGTTTGTTTGTTTTGACCCTGTGTGAATTAGCCCGCTTCCATCCGTCCAGCTGGTACCTCCTAATTTCCCCCACTGATGATAGAGCAACAAGCCAAAGTGCATCAGTTTTAATGGGCCGCCATGTTTTCAGTTTTCCAGTACTCCTTCCCTTTTTCAGGTGACGGACTGCACAGCGAGGTCAGACCTTCAAATGGCGGGTTATTGTTTTATAACTCTGCTTTAAACTTCTTTACAACCGTTTCCTTGAGCTGTGATCTGTGTGGGATGTTCGCCGTAGTTAAACTGAGTTTAAGTGATTCACACATGGAGTCTGAATCTAAAGTGCTCCAGATTAGTTTGAAAATCTCATAAAGATTTAGTGATGTGAAGAATTGTTGGCGCTTAAAACTTCAATGAAAGCACCAGCCTGAAACTCCCAAGCTACTATTTCTCCTCCCTTCACGTTTGCTTTATATTCATAACATAAAAAAAAACAACAAAAAAACAAGGCTACTGTCTGTTCCCGTCACACCTGACGTGTCTGCGCAAAAGCAGACCTTCCCCCAAAAGGTTCAGTGTCGCTGGAGCTCTTTGTCTGCAAGTGGTGTGGGAAGATGGGCTCCCCTCCCACCGGCGGCCCGAGAACTCCGAATTCCTGCCATAAAATCCCGTCCATCACCGAGACCTGCGGCGGCGCGGGGCTGCTACCCATCAGCCATCTCTCTGTGAGTGTGGTATCTCTCGTTTCCCACACTCTGCGCCTATTCACTGGCCCTGAGACGGGGGACAATAGAAGTGTGTCTTGTTACACATCACATTAGCTACGGTGTTTGATCTCCTGTTGAAGGGGAAGGAGGGGAGGAGGAAGGGGTGGTCGGCTTCAGCCAGGCCATCTGGCCTGGCATACTAGACCCTGAGAAAGTCTCAGGCAGGCATGCCACACTCTCCACAACTTCTGCACACTGAGAAAAAAGGGGGGAAAAATGTTGTGAAAGACTTTAGGAGCACTTGAGACATAATTCAAGCTTCGGGCGTCACACCGCGACCGGAGGAACAGAGGAAAGTGGAGCGTGTGACCCGCAGGGGCGTCCCAGGCCCGTTTCTAAAAACACCTGTTGGAAAACAAGGACGGACTAAACAGGGTGTTAGCAATCCCTGTGAGAAATACTATAGATGGGGCAATACAGCAATGCAGTGCTGGGATGTTTTTGTTTTTTTTTTTCTTTTTTCTCGACTTCTGGGTGTGTGGGTGTTTTAAAGTCATTTAGATCAAAAGTCTTTGGTTGTTTATTTCTGTCCAGATAAAGGATGCAGCTTAGAGGAGGAAGTGTGAGCCAGGCTTAATGTGCCAAAGTAAATAAATAATAAGGTTATAGTTTCTTCTTGATTCACAGACATTGCAGCGTTATAGCTACGGTTTCTCTCAGCCTCCTATTTTCCAGCTGAAAAGGCCAAACAGCTTGACTACTTTAAGAGTTAAGTTGCAGCTTTAATTATTTGTAATGCTGATTTTTCCACTTTTAAATGTCACATATTTGACTGACTTCCTTCACTGATCTGACTTCCAATGCCTGACGGTTATTACAACGATCATTTCCAACTTGTTTGAATAGATTTTTTTTTTTAACTGCCTTCTTTGAGGTCTAGGGACTTTTTGAGAGTCTTTAGAGGTTTTGTGGGGAAACAAAAGCATCCCGAATTGTTTCCACACATCCTTGACCAGAACACGAAGTAAGAAGAGACACTTTTGAAGCTGGTAACATGAATGACATGTCGGAGAGCGAAACTTCAACCCCACCAAGCCAGAGGCACCGTGAGGATCTGCGTGGTGGACAGATCTGCTAGCATTGCTGATCCCAAACATGCAAACAACATGTACCTTAGGTTAATTGTCGTGAGGTAGCAAAAAAAAAAAACTGTATCTCTAGTATTCCTTGTTCATTTTTTTTTAAATTGGCAAGTGATATCTGATGTTTGAAATTTTTTTTTTCACTGTCTTCTTTTGAATTGTGGCACTTTAAGACCTTCAACGTACTGAAAGAAAGTAAAAAAGCAAAGAGCTGAAACAGAGGCAGAACAAATCTGACCATCAGACTGTTCAAATTTACGAACTTCCATCAAGAAAACGTTCTTTATATCTTGCCTGTCTTGTAAGTTGAACTCATTACGTCTTCTGTTGAACTATCTCATAAGTAAATAACAATTTGATTTAAATCTTAAATTACAGGGTGTTCCTTTTAAAACCCTCTGTTCTGTTGTCGACTGCGATTTGACCTGCTGATTGTCTTTCAGGTGAAAGTTTGGTAGATGAAACGGATCCAAGTCAAGACGGCCTAAGGTGATTTGATACCTGGAATAACACACTAGATAAAATAACGATTAAAATTAAGACCAACACTGATGGTTTCTGTGTTTAAAATTTCACCAGAAGTTGATTTATTTCACATTTTCAAATGCAAACTTCTCACAGAAGCAACACGAGAGATTGTTTCAGTAAAGTCTGAAGCGAGAATAAAATACCTTTATAAAAGGCACTAAGTAGAAGATGTGAAACATCCATGATGGGCGTCATAAACAGGCAGGAAACAGAACTTCATTCAAATAAAAACCAAACATTGGTTACAAATAAACATGTTAGAATCCCAACAGGATTACAGTAAACATGGATCCACCGGATCACTTTACGGCTCGATAAAACTTCATCAACTGCAAAATGATGAAACATGTAAATCGCTGGTACTCGGTATCAATACACAGATTGTTCCGACAAATGTCTCAGACACTTAAAGAAAATAAAACCAACATGGTTCAAACGGCACAGCGGTGGCTTTCCGTTAACGTTCCACTCAGGAACAGGGAAACGACCAATCACAAGTCTTTTGAAGGGATGAACACACATGGTGTGGATATTCAGTACAACCCGACAGTTTTCAGTCCTTCCACCAGCAGTTTCACTGCACAGAGTTAAACTTGTGCCGAAGGTAGAAGGAGGCTAGACTCCAGGGGAGTCTTTTACTTTTCTGTCCATGACGTTCACAGACTTAGTGATCTCTCACTCTCCCTCTCTCTCTCTCTCTCTCTCTCAGTTGGGAGGTTTCACCAGGGTCTCCACAGAGAGCCGCCGGTCGGGCCCAGGCCCTTACTGGAGCTGACCCGATGGAGGGGAGAGCCGGGCGGAGAGGGGCTGCCGGGGCCGAGGCCGTTCCTGCCTGACGCCTGCAGACCCTGGAAGTGGCTGAGGAGCAGCAGGTGGGCCTGAGTCTGGACCTCGCAGCGGGACAGGAAGCCGACGGCCTCCTGGACGCAGCGGGAGTAGCCGTCCCTGGCCGTCATGGGGCCGGAGGTCATGTGCTGCTGCTGCTGCCAGCTCCTCAGGTACGACACGGCCATCTCCAAGATATCGGCCTTCTCCTGCTTCGAGTCCGGCTGCTGCCGGAGAAACTCGGGACCCAGCAGGGATTTCAGCTGCTCGATGCTGGTGTTGATGCGGTCTCTGCGTAATTTCTCCACCATCGGCTTTCTCAGCTGAAGGACAGAGAAAGAGAAGACGCTTCAGTAAGTTCGAATCACTTTCCATCGTCACTTTTCAAGGTAAGCGTCTAAAACCCGGGGGAGTCCAAGTTAGACCCACACAAAATTGTTGAGTCAAAAGTAAAAAAACAAAACAAAACTAAAATCAAGCAAATGAAGGAGTCTAATTTTTAAAAAAAAATGTTATTCATTAAAGATCCAAAATGTTAAAAGAGCTTTGCTGTATTAAAATAAACTTCAAACCCTTTAAGGCTCAATTAAACACTTAGCCAAGTTACATAATCTAAATAAAGGCTGATTTTGGTGCAGAAAAGGGCTGATCAGTAAAAGTCATGATTCTACCTTGGTTATAAGTACTTAATAATTTACACTGAAAGAATTTTTTATCCTGACTACAAGTCTCCGTCTGCATCGAGCCGGATCCTTCTAGAATCACAAAAATGGCCATTTTGGACTCCCCAGGTCTAAGCTGTTGGAGGAGAGGTTTACCTTGTGAGCGGGAGTCAGGTGCTCCTTGCTGGCTTGGCCGTAAGCAGTAGGCGCCATGGCTGCAGAGTAAGAGGAGCGCTTTCAGCTCAGCGTGGAGAGCCGGGTCGAGTCTGTGCTGCCCCGTCTCCGCCGCTCCTGTCCAGTATTTATACACACACATCTCCATATGAATGTGTGAGTCTGAGTCCTGTCGGAGTTTCTCACAGTCCCCCGGAGCCAATGGGAGCGCTGGGAAGGGCTTGAGGGAGCGCAGGGCTGCCACATGCTCAATGAAGTGTTTATAGCCGTGGGGACAATGAGTGTGCCTCCGGGGAGCAGGTGGAGAAATGGACCGCGAGAGAAAGAGCCCCCGGGTGGGGGGAGGAGCTGGGAGAGTGACCCGGCGGTTGTGTTGATATGGGAAAGTGGTGACCCCAGAGGGAAGCATGCCGCTGTCTCATGTCGTCTCCACTGCCACGTAATTGCAGACAAAGTGCCTCCGCCACCAGGCACACGTGGGTGTTGCAGAGGGGCCAGCCGCTTTGAAAAGACCCAACATGCGGCCACTTCCACTTGTTGGAGGCAGCAAACCTCCCCGGTGCTGCCGCGCAACAGTTGGGACGACGCAGAAATGCCTAAAGGAAAAACAGGGAGGGGCTTTTCTGGAAGGTTGAGTAAAAATAAGCACGTATGAACGACTGGTTCGACCATTATTGGTGTATTTTCATAACTAAGGTCACAATAAAGGACGTTTCAGTATAGGAGCAAAGGACATCTACAAATGTTAATTCTATGGTTTCATGTATTTTTCACAATATTCACATCCTTTGAACTTTTTTCACGTTTTCACATTAGAAGCCCAAACTTTCACGTATTTTATGCAGATTTCATGTGTCAGACCCACATAACATGATCCAAATAATAAAGTCAGTTAAAGTCATGATACAACAATCAGCACAAGATTGGAGATTAAATACCAACAAAGCATCTCATAAAGCCTTTCAGAGCAAAGAAAATTACACCATCAGACAAATATGTTGGTGGTAAATCCATTAAAACTCAAGGACTTATGAGTTATGTCCCAGGATATCATGTTATTATTGACATTTTCCTTGCAGCAAGGTGGGATTAAAAAAAAAAAAACAAACAGAAGCAATTACACAACGACATTGTCAAAACAGTAAAAGGTCTTTGCTGACAGTGATCCGACTGTGTCTCCAGTTAAGCATCTTCAAGTTTTGTTTTTTTTAGAAACTGATGTTGGACTCAGACTTCGATATACTGTGACGCCTACAGGTCACACTCAGCTAACACTTTCAGCTCTTCTCCTTCACTTACCAGAGTTTACTCTTCTGTTAATCCTCTACTTTTCATGTTACTTTGAAAAAAAGGGGAGCAAGTTAAGCATTTGCATCAAAAACTCATTTTGAGCTTAAAGTCTTTCACGTGAGCAGTATTTCCGACTATATGAAGAGAGTGAAGCATGCCTCAGATATTAGCTTTCCCGCTCTCAGCACACGTCAACACACCAGGCACACACACACGCACACACACAGGTTGATCAGCCTGCCGCTGGCCACGTCTCGGTCACACGCTCCCTTCCTGCCTGCATGGAACGTGGGAGCTGCTGTGGTCCCAGGCTTCCCACACTTCAGTGTTAATGACTCCAAGGCAGGCTGCACAAAGGAAGTGTGCCCCGTGGAACAAAGACAGAGTGACCAACTCGGCCTTTAAACCACACACACACACACACACCACCAAGGAAGGCAAGGTTGTCAACAGGGCTTCCAGGCACACCATCTGGATGGATCGAGTGCTTTTGTCGGTCAATCAAGCATGAGAGGCGCCCACCGTGAGAACTGGAGAGGCTGAAATAGAGACGAGAAGTTAAATGAGAAGATCAAGTGTGTGTGTGTGTGTATGTGTGAGCTGAGAAGTCTTCTAATGTGCTTCATCAAGATGGTTTTTAGAAATAAATGAAGGAAAAATTGGGTGTTTTTTCTGATTTGTAAGTAATTGCTTTGCTAGAGGTCAAATAATCAACTAAAGGAATCAGTGGAGATTTACTGGCCGTATTTCTTTAAACACATACATGTAATGTGATAGTTAAACTACACACCAAAAAGATACTATTTTAAAAACTTAGCATGTTGGTCTTTAGTAAATAGAGACACTTGTAAAACAAAATACATGAGGAAAAAGTTTGTCCTCCACATTCCCACCAAACATCCTTCCCATTATAAAGCGTCATTGGAGCCACAAGAGGTTCCTGAAGGGCCCCTCCCAGCTGTTTCTTCAGATTGGGGCCTTTGTTTATCATCGTTCCGATTAATTTATTCACTTTCTATTGTCACTGCGTTGTGTTGTGATTGGATAAACGTGGTGAGAACCAGCATGGCATTAAGTCAGTGGGAAAGTTGGCGTGAAGAAGTATTTAAAGGAGGAAAACCTTGGTGGTCAAAATCATAACCTTGAAAACCCCTTGAAGGCCCTGAGCCAACGTCTGACTGAGCGACCGCCATGAGGGATCAGCGCACGGCGTAAGTTCATTTCCTGGACGTTCAGCTTGATTTGATGTTGATCTAGAACTAGAAAGTATTTTAGATTTTATTAAGGTGGAGATTTGATTTTTTTTAAAAATGGGGAGGGATCCATAAGAATCTCAAAGCAGTAGAATCCTTTGGAAGTCTGCTTTCAATACTCCAACCAATTCCTGTGATGAGTTTTACAAATAAAACCCAAATGTCTAAAACATAGTCCTGTTTCGTTTCAGCTTGTGTAAGATGAGCATTTTGGAAAGGAAGTGCACAAAAAAAGCAGCTCAGCTCAGCTCTGCTCTGGAGAGCCAGCTGTGTGCGGGGATGAGCAGTCGGGACGCCGGGGACAGGACGGTCTCCTGCTGCTCCACTAAAACTCTTCATTTTCCGGAGCGGCTTCACCGGAGCCTCCAGGGACGTCATGAGGCTGCTCCCCTCGCTGAGGACGTGATGCCGCTGTGCTGCCAGTCATAAATGGACAAAATGATGGATTTTTTTTTTTTTAAATGGTGATTTTGTTTGGAGTGTCTTGAAGATGTTTCATTCAGGGAGAAAAACTGTTTTTTTTTTTAAATATTTTCATTTAGGTTTATTCACCTTATTAGGTGGAAATTGTAAAAAAAAAAAAAAAAAAAAAAACTCTGACTTTAGTGGTTCACAAATGTGCATTCTTTGCCTTAAGCGTCCTTTAATGTGGACCGCGTCATTAAGATTGTTTGATTTAAACAGAGCCATATTCCTTTGATTGAAAGGGTCATTTTTATTTTACAGAATGTTTCAAGACGTTGTCTTTGTGTATGAGACACGTTTTTGCCAAAACCCCCAAAAATTTGCAAAATGAGCTTTCATGTGCAGTTCCGTCTTTTGTACTCATTAGGGAGCGTTAGCTTTAATCTGTTTAAGATTATCTTGAAAAGTTAATTCTGAAGATAAAGTTAAGATTCACATTTTTATTTTATCTAAGCGAGTTCCAGATGTCATATTTGACTTCATCATACATGTTGGAGTGCGTCGCCCTCTACAGGTAGAAATGGACCTCGCCAGATATGCGAAGTTGGGATTATAATTTGCAAAGCGTCCTGAGGTAACATTCCCCACTGTTGGCTACCTACAGAGAAATCTACTTCTCAGTTGTGATTATTTGCAACAATATGATTGTAAGACGTATGAAAAAGATTTTCACTAACTGTACTTTTTTTTTGTGGCGGTACAAATAGGAGTAAATACGTAGAAGTATTAATTAATTTGAATAAATGTGATCCCATCAACGTTGCTGAATGTAATGATGGTTTGTCCACATCCGTAAATTATTTCCGATTATGTTTAGGAGTTATAAATGTAGAATACTACGAATAAATCATGAAGAACTTCAAATGACCTTTCCACAGCAAAAAGCCACCAGGAGCGGAGAATAAAACACCCAGATCCTAAATAAATATTCATTACCCCTGGAACGTTTCTACATCTTGTCACAATTGCAAACTTTAATGTGTTTAATTTGCAATTTTGAGGGCGAGAGAGAGAAAAAAGTCTGTTCCACGTCACAATTAATTCCTTTATAAGTCTGAAAAATGTGTACAAACGACCTCAGTCCATCCTGAGTCGATGCAAGAAGAATAGAGTCAGGAGTTCTCAGGTTTGGCCGCACAGATTCTCCCATTTATTAGAGGCTGGACTTTGACTGGGCTGTTACGACATAAGTTAGTGTTTGACAACACATTTTTTGTGTGGACCAAAAAGTTTGGTTTTGGACTCATCTGACTAGATCGTCTCCTACCTTCTTCCAAATATGGTTGCTGACCTTAAACAATCAGTTTCCTCTGGCCGCTCTTCCTTAAATCATTTGTTGAGTTCATTACCAACACTTGTCCTATCAGCAGTTCCCCCCACATGAGCAGTGGATCCCTGGAGATCCTCCAGAGGCATCATGAGTCTTCTGACAAAAAGTGAAAAAGTTTAAGGAGTGTAAATATTTGTGCAGTGCATTACATGTGATGTCATAGCTCCAGTATAAAAGGATTTCTTTCTAAATGTGCAAACAGCAGCCAAGAGAGAAGAGGTTACCCTTGAATCAGACTGAAAGTATTACAGCTTTATTAATTATACGCTAAATTCAAAAAAAGCAGACATTCAGCAACAGTTTAAACATTGTAGCATTGGGAAAAGCAAATCAATGATGAACTGGGGAAAGTGTACACCATGCATTTAGATCTGAAGAACGGCGACAGAGTTTTCTGTCATCTGAAAGTGAACGAGATGCTGAGTTTTACTTCACATAAATTTTGGTTACCGCCGAGAGTTTGAAAGTCTAAATTCGAGTGGAGCGTGGCCTTAGAAATGAAGGAAGCAAAACCGAACACAATCATAAGAGGAAAGTGTTTAAGCATGTAATGCAAGTCTGTTTTATTGTCATTTTAGACATTTCTGGCATCTCATTGCAGCAGGTGGAATCTTTCATGGACTTACTTCAAAAGGCAGAAATTATATGGAAGAAATTAAATCAAAACTTTTTATTTTTTTAAATCCCGTTTCGCTTCTGATGTTGATAAAACAAACCTAAGACAATTTTATTCTCCCGACCGTCACTCAAATTTCCAGTTAGAATCCACATGTAGACTTAACAGCAGAGGGAAAATGACAGGC